AAACGACGGATGTTCAGCAACCCACCATCAATACGGTGCTCCACACGAACACCGTAAACACAAGCGGCATCAAAAACACAAGACAACATTGCATGAAGATAGATATTAAACAGGGCAGGAGCTAACACCCAGCGTTGCTTCACACCAGTGACAACTGCAAAGTCCTCTGAGGTCTCTACACTCAGCTGCACCCTCGCCCGCATACCACTGTGCAGACATTCAATTAGACAAACTTATGTGGGCAACCAAAGTTACCCAACACCAGCCACAATGCCTCGCGGTTCACCGTATCAAATGCTTTGGTGAAATCAACAAAAAGCGAGTATAAAGGCTAGTGTCGTTCTCTGCACTTCTCCTGCAACTGACGAGCCACAAACACCATATCTATAGTGTTGCGACCCGAACGGAATCCACACTGCTCTTCCGCCACGTTTGGTTCCACAATCTGACTCACGAGGCGATTGAGCAGGATTCGGGCAATCACCTTGCCCACACAACTCAGCAAGTTGATGCCACGATAATTCGTGCAACATTGCTTGCTTCCTTTGCCCTTGTACAGTGGTACCAAAAGGGCATCCTTCAGCTAAGCAGGCATCTCCTCCTCAATCCATGCGCGTTGAACCAAGTGATGCGGCGCAGTCAGCAACGCTGGTCCGCCGTGTTTCAATCGTTCAGGCGGGATCTCGTCGTTCCCAGCACACTTGCCGTTTCGCAGCTGAGCAAGTGCTCGCTGCGTCTCATCCAGTGTCGGCGTATCCGCCAGATCCGCCTTCACATCGTGCTGCTTCAGGCCGTTCAATGTAGGCCAGTCGGTATCTGAACGGTTGTTCAAGGGACAGTCGAAATGCTTCCGCCAGATCTGCATTATGACTGCAGTCTGTGTGCAGGTAGCGCCTGAACTACCATCGATCAGGGTTCTCAGCGGTTACAATCTCGGTCCATACACCGCCTTCAAGGAGTCAAAGAATTCCTTGTGTTGGCAGCGTTCGGCGTAGCATTCCATTTGCTTCGCGTTCTCTGACCACCATGCATATTCTGTGCGACTGAGTTCTCGGGTCAGACGCCGTCGAAGTTTGCGAAACTGACTCTGCTTCCCCAAGTCACTCAGGTCTACAACATGTGCAGCAAATGCTGCATTCTTCTCTGACACCAATGCGCCAGTCGTCGCATTGTCCTCATCAAAACATTCAGGTCGCTTACAGTTTGCGCGCCTGATGGTCTCCTCGGCAGCAGCTGTCACCTGGTCGCGAATGTGGTGCCACAGGTCGCCCACTGTGGCTATGCAGTCTATATCACAGAGGCGTGTAGCCATCGCTTTCTCCAGCTCAGTATGTTTCGACACAGTACCGAGGGAGAGAATGTTAAATTTATGCCGATTCACGGCGGGAGTGCAATACATAGATTTACGAAAATATATGTGCAGTTTGGTCCGCACCAATTTGTGATCAATGCCACACTCAGCTCCACGCAGTACACGTGTCATGCGCACTTCACGCATATCATGATGACGTGCGATGACATAGTCGAGCAGCTGAGCGTGACCACTCGTTGGATGCATCCACGTTGCTATATCACTCGCACTCAGTGCAAACCGAGTGTTCGTGATCGTCAGACCGTGAGTGGCACACAGTGAGAGCAGCCTGTCACCGTTCGCATTCGCTGAACCAACGCCATGCGGACCGATGACATCTGTCCACACCGATGCATCATGCTCAACGCGCGCGTTGTAGTCACCCAGCAGAAATAGTCGGTCGCTCCTCGGCACAGACCGTATCACGGAGGATAGCTGAGTGTAGAATTGCTCACGCGTGTCACTAGGATACAACATGGTCGGACCGTACGTGCTTATAAAGGTGGCAAACTTACCTCTTCCGAGTCGTAGGCGAACAGTCAACATTCGCGCGCTGATGCCTGTTGGATTACCCGCCAACTGGACATTTAGCCGATCGGATATTGCAAATCCGACCCCATGTTCACGTGGTGCTAAGGCGGCGTTGCCCACCCAGTAGAATGTGTAGCCAGTACCTGCTTCATGCAACTTACCTTGCTCAGCGAGCCGAGTTTCACTGAGCGCAGCAATATCGATGTTGTAGCGCGCCAGTTCCATCGCGACCAGTGCAGTGCGTCGCTCGGGGTGCTCACTGGAGTTCCGGTCCAGTAGTGTGCGCACGTTCAAGCACCCGATGCTGAGTGCTTTGCGCGCAGGCATACAATTGCATTGGTGGGCAATCGCACGCGAGATGGCTGTTGTGCTCCGGAGGTTTGCTTGAGGGACTCCACCCGGAGCCTTTGGCTCAATAGTCTGACCCACAAGGCAGTGGGTTGTTATGAGGTTTGCTTGAGGGGATCCACCCGGAGCCTTTGGCTCAATAGCCTGACCCACAAGGCAGTGGATGGTTTGGAGGTTTGCTTGAGGAATTCCGCCCGGAGCCTTTGGCTCAATAGCCTGACTCACAAGGCAGTGGGGAGCAGATCCAGCTCGGGAATGTGATTGCAGAGACAGACTGGGATCAGCTTGACGGCCATCACACGCAGCCTTGGAGGTACTGGAACGATTTATATATGTTTTGCGACCGTAGCAGGACACGCACCTGCGACCACGGCCAGATGCAGGTGGATTTTGGCGGGTTTGCACCAATTTGACCAGGGACTTCCTGGCTTGAGGAGGGCAGTAGCAAACCATTGAACACCCGGAGGTGCCCTCCCACCGCCAGAGACAATGCGTGGCGCTCGTGCTCTACGCCAATCGAGCTGTGAGCTTATGACTCGTAAACCTGTTGTCTCCCATGGCTAGGTTTTACTGGAAGTGTGCCATCGACAACTTCCTAACCTCGGAAGAGGATGCACTAGGATACTAGCAGGGCGTCCACTCCTGACAGAACGACTTGGGTCTTCAGCCAAAGCCTTCGATTAAATGTACACCTGAAAGGCAGCGGGTCTAGCACATGGTCAGTTCACTGACTCATGCAGATTGGTGTCCTGGATCCTAGCAGGTAGAAGGGCGAAACCCAACTCCCACCTAGCGGTCGCCACGAGGTGTCCAGGACATGAGCCAATGGCGCAATAGTAGCAGCAGTGGGTAGATCATCTGTCAGGATCTAGCCACAACCAGCCTCAGCGCACCATAGGCTCTCCCGCCTATATATATATATATATATATATATATATATATATATATATATATATATATATATATATATGGGTTATGGTAGATGAGAAGGTAAGGGCTGCTGGTGTGTTGCAGATTCCTTTAGAAGGCAAATGAATGGGAAATTGTATGTGAATCTATATCAGGCGACCATGGGAGGAGATATAGGAAAATGGTGACGGCCAATGTCGAGCACCGTTAGCAAGCTCATTCAGTCATTCGTTCATGTTCGATAAGAGTACGGTATTCTGACAAAAAGAGAAAATAGTTAGAAGCACTGGAGAAGAGAAAATGACGTAGATAGGGTGCAAAGAATAAATCACCTTGGAAGTTAGCGATTCCAATCGGTTCATCACGGTAGTTCTTGATGTACTTCACACCATACACAAGTATGGGTCGGCGTAGAATGTGGCTCAAGGCGAATATGTGAATTTGCTCTAGGGCTCCACCTTGTCGGACAAAAGGAACAAATAATAAGCGGACAGAGATCAGTACAAGCTAGAAGCTGAAACGGACGCAAAGATGTAGACCAAACGGTAAACAATGAGGAAATAACACATTTGAACCATCAGAAAGAGTCCCACTAGCTAAGAACTGTGGACCTCACGATGATGTGAAGCTTCTTAACTTTTTTCTCAGGATTTACCCGATGCTCAGTTGCTGCTGACTACCCATATGTTACTGTGCATTGGAGATGCCATCTCGACTGTTAGTATAACGGCTGCAACTAAACTGCTCAACTCGGGGAGAAATCAACACCTCAAAGTGAGCTAACAACGTTGGTCAAGTGTGGTGTCAGAGGATTGGTTCCCAAACAATAACCGATGAACACAAGCCTTTGTTGGTCCACCTGACACGAACTATGCTTATCTGTCACTGATGAACGAAAGTGGGTAATCAGTTAGCGGGCATGTATCGCTGGAAAAAAAGCAACAAACAAGTCACGACTGTCCATCAGCAATATCAGATCAATCCAGCTGTACGGATGCACGTTACTTGTGCTAAGTAATGCGATTAAAAGATTTGTACTGGAAAGTTGTATGGCGGATACACAAGTAAAGGAAACGATAGCCATAAGTAATATAGGGAACAATAGTCTACAATTTTTTGGTCTTCAAAAAGCGGTCACCATGGAAGTCAACATTCGCAATACCCGGGCTTTGGATGATAAGGATAGGTGAAGTTTCCGACAGGAGCACTCAATCCCAGTTTCTAAATTATAACCAACAGGGCAGTGTGGTGAACATAACAGCCGTGCACGCGAGTGGGATTTAGTGGACTCGGATCGAGAAGCCTGTCCTCAGGATATCTATTGACTGCAGCAGTGACACGGTAAATATCTTGGGTCACTGACCCCGACTGCCTGGTTGGGGTCCTAAGGACGGTGAACACGTTTGGTTGGACACACTTGCTGATATGGCTCGGAGCCGGCATCAATGGCGTTTGTGTTGTGAATTTCTTTGTCCATCCCCTCCAGTTTAGCATCCCCCTCCAATCACGATCTCACTTGATAGGCATAATACCAGTTTCTTTTACGGCAGCCAGCTGTCAGCTCTCCGGTACGATGTCCATCCGTTACCGGGGACTCAGCGGGCGTGCCACTGTTTTCCTTTTCTTGTCTTTTGTATTGCGGCACAATAGCTGAGGTGTTTCCCACCTCCAGCTAACATGTAATGATGATGAGGATCCCCAGGGGCGGAAAAGTAATCACTATCGATGGATTCAGTCAGTTTGTCGAATAGTTGTAACGATACCACAGTTTTGTATGGGCGCTTGGTGGAGAACAGTCGCTAGATCGATTGTTACACCAGAATACTGGATACTAGCTGCTGTATTGTGGAAGAGAACTGCGTCGCCAAAGCGGACTCATGTTCAGTGTTGGAAGTTAAATGCTGTCCGTCCGAGTAGTGGTAGGTTACCTGCTGGATTCAGGCGCAAAAAAGTATATTGTGTAGTATGCCCATTTTTATTATATATTGTAAGAAGAAACGCAAGCGGTATGCTGAAAGTGAACCATTGTTTTCAATTTATCCATCATCAGGCTTGGTACAGAAATACACGTTGAGAAGAGGAGTTCGTTCGGGAAACAGAGAGTAACTATTGATTAAACAAAAATTTTAAAGGGTTAACGTAACGTGTCATGTGGTCAAGTGACTGAAGGCATGTGATATTACTGAATGAGTCCGATCCATCTTTGTTACTGGCTGGACAGCGTAGTTATAATGCTTGAACACGCTGCTTCTGAATGCATAGATTTGGTTTTGTCAACCGGATGCATACCGCTTCAGCGGTTTTTGCTGTTGCTGCTGCTCTTCAAAATGCTTGTGGTTGATCGTTTTCGTACCTTTTTGCAAACATCCGATTCTTAATCTTTCGTCGCCTTTGTTCCAGTCTGCGCCGCCGTCGAGCCATTGTACCATACTCCTCACCGAACCAAATATGGGTTAAATGACCCAACTTTTTGACACTTAAGTGTTACAAACTGAGAATATAACGAGGTCACTCGCTCTTCTATTACGCTCGCTCTCCTACTATGCTACAATCTTCCACAGATACGGCTTGCGGCAGAGATTAATCCACTTGCCTCGTGGCTCAAGTCAGGCCGTCAATTTCAGTTTTGCTGTAATTGTTAGCTGACTCCAGCGCATGTTACCAACCGTATAAAAATGCATTGGTGTATAATAAATAAAAGAAATCGTAACATATACGCAGTAACGGCGCTTCGCTACCGCTCGACCACCACCAGTCGCGCGTGGGCTGCCTTTACCGCGAAGACGGACGTGCATACGCGGATGCGAACTGGCGAACTTATGATTACAAGCCAGGCGTGCAGACCATTCGGCTACCGGTCGACATTGGAAGTGATACAGATGTTAAATTCAAGCAAAACCGAGCAGATTATGAACAGCGACACATACCAGAGAAAGTTAAGTGAGTGTAAGCAGGACAATAAAGGTAGACAAACCTGGCTGGTTCGCAGCAGCCAACACGTTGTCCCAGTCTCTGCGGCATTGATTTTCATCCAATATGTAATGGCACGCGGCTTGTAGAGCCTCATAATCGCGCCATCGGGGATAAAAACTGCCTTCACATCGCCTTAGGCTATCTGCAAGAGCACGGCGCAAAAAGTTCTCCCTGTCGAATATACCCCAACAAGCCTAAATTTAGGAAAAAGGAACTGCATTAAAAAACCAGAAGGTATAAAGAAACACCCGTTGGAAAAAGACAGTAAGAAGAGAAGCGGCCGTAGCGTATGGCATACTGAAGTTAGAGGGTGATGCGGATGTGAGAGCGTTTACTTTTAACATTGGTAGAGTAAGCATTATAGAATCGGGCCAAGGCATACAATCGTGTGGCTCTACGAAACGACTTTAGCAGATTTGTTAGAGGTTGAGCTACTTACAAGCATATGAGCGAAAGACAGTTGAGCGAAATGATATGGTTCAGCACTTAAAGCAGAGGTGATCATAAGCTGAAAGTTCATAACAATCAAAAATATAAAAGTGAATGGCAAAGTGGAATCCGTACGTAATTTTTCGGCCCGCAACCGCAAAAGTAATGTGCATATAACTCCCTTTAGAGTGAAGAGTAGGGGTGACAACGTTACGATAAGACAAAGTGGGGAACATGCAGGTGAGATCAAAATCCTCTAAAAATGGACTAGATGTAAAGAATCTAAGAATAAGGAATATCGATTTGACGGTAGTAGAGTCTAGCTCAACTGGTGAACTACGATCTAGATACGGCGGATTCTCCTACCAAGACACATCAGTTGATAAAGCTGAAAGATTAGAGGAATGTTGGTGTCAGGTCACCCGCGGAGGCCACAGAATCGGAAGAGCAAGATTGGGATTCAACTTTAAATTGTAGTGATTAAACTAAGGAAGAAACTGACCAAAAGCGCCTCTTGTCAGTCAGATATGAAGTCGATACATAAAAAATAATAGGAAACATGGTACG